CATGTTTAGAATGTTTATTCAGAAAGACTAAACTCAAGTATTGGCCTGCTCCCCTACTTAGCATTCCTGAACCTCAGGTCCTTGAATAGCTTAAGTATTATGGATTCCAGACTGGGAAAGAGAGTACAGCCAAGAGCCTGGGCCAGTCATCATGTCTGAGAAGTAACTGAGGCACCTGTGTATCACAGCCAAGGGCCTAAGCCCTGAGAACTCAGGCAGGTCTGCTATTGTGGGCATTTATTTCATAGACATTTTATTTGGTGGCAGAGCAGCCAAGATGTGAGGAATGAGGCACGGAGCTGTGAACATGTAGCACCCTCTCCATGAATGCTAGAGAAAACACGAAGAAAATAGGATTCTCCTTCCCCGCCTCCCACCCCCCATCCCCCACCCCAAAGAGCTCTGGCAGGAAAACTCTCACCGAAAAGCATTTTTTTTCCTTGGGAGGATTATTTATAGCTGTATACACTGAGTGCTGGAGGGATGGGTGAAGGGAGTGGGTTTGGGGGCTTTATTATTAGGTGCTTCCTTTTTGCTAAGGGAAGATCAGAAACAAGAGCAATTTCCTCAGGTCTGTGAAACAAGAAGAAATTAAACTCACTCACTTTTTCTTAATGCAGAGGAAGATGTACGGTGTAGTCTGTTTGGTTTGTTTCACACACGGTGTCTAGGAAGTGATGGGGTCATGTGCAGAGCAGGAAGGAGAAGCTAAAATGCTGATATCACAGTCTGACAAAAACTTTGAGCCAGCTGTCTTCTCAGTATGGACCTGACAACTGTGTGTCTAGTATAGATTGTGTGTGTGTGTTTGCAATCCTTTCTGAAAGGAGAACTTAATTACAAAGAACTGCTAATTAGATCATTAATTCCTCATAGATAAGGGCTTCTTTGCTTTGTGGTAGGCAAATATGCCAAACAGGTTCTCAAGAGCCATGGGAGGTGAGTAACATTTGTATGCCCAATTTATGAATGAGAAAACTCAGACTCAGAAAGGCTGAAGAACTTGCTCAAAGTAACTCTATGGATAAAATGCCAAGAGTCATTGATAGTGACTACAAACCCTAAGAGAAAAAGGGCAGCTAGTGTTGAGCATATGAGACTCTGAGGACAGGCCAGCTCTACCCCTAGAAGTCAGATAGAGAACCAAGTCGGTCAA